TTTTTTGTGTTCCTCTTTAAATGCTTTTCTATTGTCTTTATTGATAAAGTATTGTGAGAATTTATGGCTTTAGTATTCAAAACCAATTTTTTTTGTATATGGATGATTGTATGTCTAATGTGTACCGATGGTAGAAAAATCACAAAAAATATCAATGGATTTTTGTAAGCTGTACAGTAAAAATATCACATTTCTCCTCGATTCGATACTCTGAGGGTACTGGTATCTTTGCAAGCTAGCAAAATCTTACACCTCGGTTTCTTCCTATCCATAATCTTAGGCTGCACTAGAGATAGTTATATTATGTTATTGCCTGATAATACCAGGTATGAGGAATAGGAAGACTCCAATCTATTCAAGAGTAGAATTTTTGGGAATGAATTTTTATAGGAATATTATTGTCAAGTTCAGCAGAATACTTAAGGATATTTGGGGGGATTACGTAATTTGACCTATTTAGTTGTCGCCATTATACTCACTAACTAGAATAATATTATACATGCAAAGGTAGAAATACTTTTGCTCCTATTTTAACATTCGTACGAAAATAAGTATGCTAGTCCATGATATTATACTGAATTGACTGACCCTCTGTTAATCTAGGTTATAAAACAAGCTTAGCAAGTTGAAAATGTCTAGAAAACGAAGACTCGCATTAGACCGAGTATTTTGAGGGGTGAGCCGATGAGCACGGAATTAAGGAAAAATTTATAGTTTCTACATAAAACTGTAATTTCGGAAATACATCTGAATGTAAGAAATATTAATAATCCTCTTAGATAACCAACTTGGACTGCTTTTAGCATCAAGATTATTATTGTGGACACTGGCACAAATAATAATTGAAACTGTGATAGGCGTGGACTAAATCACATCTATGATAAGATTGGAAACTCGGGTTTTTACATGGGGAAACAAAGCGCTGTGAGTTTGGCAGGATGTATTAGTTTTACTACTTAAGGGATTTTGACTTTCACTTGCCATAAACGCACAATTGTAAAATTGGTTATTATTATTTAATAATCTGAGATTCAAATAATCCCGAAAATCTTGGCACAAAAGGAACTCATAACTTCACGTTGTACGACAAATATACGGATTGTCTATAGGATCGCCATTAGTTTTTTTTGTAAATGTATAAGTGGAAAAAATATAAGTATTTAAGAGTCAGTTTACGATAACATGATAACTAATTTGAGCTTTGGTCTCTTAGTTGAATAAATCCATGAATTGTGTGAATTAGCCTGACGAAGCAATCTAATTGATTGCGTTTACTGATGAAGATGAGTGGATACTATTTCCTAATTTACACCTCGTTTTCTTCAACCGGACACTGAGGATAAGTCTATCTAGAAAGAAATCGCATTCAGGAATAATCTTCAATCTCCAGTCTAATAATAATTATGGACTGAAGTTAGCAATACTGTAAAGCATTAATTCAGGGAAGAAGAATTGAATAAATTAATCCAGATTTGCCTCAGTAACTTATACTTTCTATAACTCAAAGCAATATAAGGTTGCAAAAATCGGATGGCATGATGAGGATTATCAAATGAAAATCAAGAGTAAGAAAGTCGCCCCAAAGTGGGTCTGTCTGCTCTCCTATCAACTTAGTCGAAGACTCTGTCAAATATAGTATTCAGGTAATCGCAATGACACGACAGTATTCTTAACAATAGACATTATTTCACAAGCTTACCAATGCAATATGAGGAAATAGGCAAAATTGGTTTCTAGAGTAACTATTACATAGTAGCAGTGACTGTCAGCAAATATAAATAGGTAAAACAGGGAGAAAATACACGAGATAAAAACGGGTTTTCTAGGCTGCTACAGAACCTGATAGGATTTGACTCAGGTTGGTCCCTGAAAGGGCCAAATTGAATCAACAATTCCTGCACTCATTTGGAGGAAGAGAACCAGCGGAGAATATGATTACGGCTCACTAGGCAAAATCAATTCAAAACCTCGTTTTTGTCATCGCCTGGTGTGAGTTTATATGTGCAATTTTTTTCTTTTTCCAGGGCGTGCTTCAATTGCTACAGGGGTTAGTTCGCAGACAGCCACCTTTCACATGGCATTATGGACGAACTTGGATCGTCTTGTCTCCGCAATTGAACGCCTTGTTTTGCGGGGTCGAATGTTAACAGACTCTCTTGTCCGACCACTTGATTGCCTTATTCCAACTGGTCTTGGAAGCTTGGCAGCTTCGTCTGTGAGTCGCGTAAGTGGTAGTCGGAATGCTGGGGGTGGTGGTGGTGGTCTAATAGGCAGGCCACCTGGCTGCCTTGGGGGCCTAGGTGGCCCTTCCGACCTTGTTGCTCAATTGCTTCAGCAGCGTCGGGTCAGTAGAGCCCGTTGTAATGCAGAGGAAATATTAAAATGGGATCCGGATGCAGAACTTTGGGTTCGTCTAGTGCTGGGCGCGGCTGCCGGCCGTCTGAAACCAGACAAACCACTGGCCGACCAGCTGATTGATAGCGAGTGCCGTGGTGGTGAGGCCGCTTATCGCAGCCTCGCTAACTGGCTACTTGACTATCTGGCCATTGTCTGTCCTGACCTACCAAATGATGATCAAGCAGATGATTCACGAGATCCGTCTAATTCTGCTAGCCTAAATCATGAGCATCTATCGAGTGACTCTAGCACATGTGAGAGTAGCATTAATAGATTTGAAAATTGGAGGCAGCAGCGTGATGTGATCTTATGTCTACTCGCCGACGCTCTTACCTCCGACCGAATGCAAGCTTGCGCAGATTGGGATGCACAGATCGAACAATGGGAGCGTGAAGAGGGCCTACTTGCCTGTAAGTCATTATCAAGTGGCTTAACCCGAGTCAACTTTGCAACACTATATTGAGACTCAACCATTTTGCCTTAAATGTCGAGTTAAGTTTCATTTATAATGAGCATGTGTAGTAAATAGATCCGATAGTCGATCTCACTAGAAGACAATAGCGATTTCCCCTGGGCAAGCTGTTGATTGGCTTCACCGGAATATTCTTTTCAGAGGCAATTTAAGCCAATTCCAGTGAATGAGGGCTAAGTTTTTATCCGTCATACCTTTGGCGTACCTTTATTTTCGTAGGAAGAGACGAGTGGAAGAGATTGGCCCTACCGGAGACCGAAGGAGGCTTACCTTGAAGCTGTAGTACCGGTAAGAAGTCAAGAGCTACTTATTGTAGCATGACTCTTCATTTCGAAGGGAAAGTTGGTTGGAAAGAATTCGTGATGTGGTCTCACCGGAAACCGAAGGAGGATTGTCGCATAAGGAAGACTGTTGAATTGTACGAAGAAGTCCTCGGCTCAATTTCCTGTGATCCAGATGAAATTGTGCTAAGCTTTCGTCTGTACTGTGACAGACATCATCAGAGCAAGATTCCATACTTTACGAATTAGAGTAAAAATATACTATTTTTCATGTTTGAATAGAGTTTCGAGACTACTAGTAAATCAGTAATATGAGATGTATTCACCCTATTTCGTTTAAGGTGTTGAGGAACTAGTAGTAGAATTTACCCACAATGATATGAATAGAGCTGACGTTTCCATTGAGTCTCACATTGCCTTGCTAGACCAAGAGAAGGTGGTTGGCTTTTTTTATACACCTTACATCGCGATCTTAATGCGGCCTCCTCTAATTTGGTTGGCTACTTCAATCTTACTTAACTTCCCGAACCATAAATGCGTTCGGTGGCTGCTGCTTCATCACACAAGAACTAGCGTACGATCACCTAATGCTGAATCATGTTTGGGCTTGTCCTATTGTCTATTGTGTGTATGTAATGCTCATGTAATGAGTAATAAGGATAGTCCTAGCTAGATACAAGGCTAATCCAGCCTCCTTTTCTTGCTCAGTAGCTCTTCCTGTGCCCCCTCTCTTTTCCTTCCCTTAAGTCTCTCCAACAGCCACAGAAAGTTCCTACTTAGTTTTCTATACTCATTCCTCCTATTCAGGACGTTGGCTGTTTTGTTAACTTCTATAGACTTACTAATATTACGATTTGATGTGAAGTCCCCGTAACTCACAAAACCTTGTGTTTTGGACCAGTCTATTGAGTGTCCTATATTGGCCTTGTGTTCAGCGAGCACAGATTTTTGGACCTACAGACCTTCACAAGCGGTTTTGTGTTCGTATAGTCCCTTATGAATAGATCGGCAGGTTGCCCTCACATAGACCTTATCACATGAGCACAAAACCTTGTAAAAGCCGGATTCGGAAAGAGGGTCTGAATATTCTATAAACGAATGAGCTACTGAAGAAAGTGCTATTTTCTCTTTATACGTTGTTTTTATGTTCCATTTCCTCAGTAGTTCACCCAACTTTTTCGCAAGCTGACAGGAAGCAAAAATCAGGGACCGAGTATAATTGTCCAGTTTTCTATACCGCGCCTGTTAGCAAACTCCCTTAATCTTGTTAATTACAATTGATATGTAATTGTCTACTAATCCTGATGGGTAATTGTTTTGAAACAGTTTATTCCTCACTCTATCAATCTCCTGGTCCCTAT